CACAGACTACATTAAGGGATTTATTTATACCCTCTTTGAGGTCCTTGAACATATTCAAAATGACTGTTTTGAAGTCCTTGTCTTGTGTTTTAGCTGTATTGCATTCCTCGGGATGTACTGTAGTAGTGTTGATGGCTATTAGTGGAGATATATTGTCTGTTTAGTGTTAGTGATTGTGTTTTTGCATTAGTAGTTAGGCATCTGTGTTTGGGATGAGTATGGTTCTGGTGGCTGTGGGTTGCCTGGTAGGGAGTACTTGTGAGTCCCTGCTAGATGTAACATTGGGTGATTTTAGGTTTTGGGGCAGGGGTTGACACAAAAGAGGAAAGTTGAATTGGCTGCAAGGTTTTATGGAATCCCCAAGGAGATGAGTCAGAGAGGGATGTCACCCCCTAAAGGTAGTCTGCTATAGGGCTGGGTATGAGACTTGCAACTTTGAATGGAGGACTGGAAGGAAAATGAAGATCACCTGCCTGATACCCACACTGGCATGGCCAATGGGTTTCTAGGTAGAGAGTGTCTCTGTGTATTGGTAGCTGACACAAAGGGATGAGGTGAAAGAGGAAGATAACCCTGTATAATAAAGGAACTTCAGGAGGCATCACCATCCCCAACTTCAAGCTCTACTATGGAGCTATAGTCCTGGAGACAGCTTGGTACTGGCACAAAAATAAACAGGCAGACCAGTGGAATTGAATCAAAAATCCTGATATTAACCCACACACCTACAAACAGTTTTATCCTCAAACTGAGGAGCTTCTGTAGGGCAAAGGACACAGCTGATAAGACCAAATAGCAGCCTACAGACTGGGAAAAGATCTTTAGCAACCCCACATCTGACAGAGGGCTGATCTCCAAAATATACAAAGAACTCAAGAAACTAGCCAACAAAACACCAAATAACCCTATTAAAAAATTGGGAAGAGAACTGAAGAAAGAATTCTCAATAGAGGAATCCAAAAAGGCTGAAAGACACTTAAGAAAGTGCTTAACATCCTTAGCTATCAGGGAAATGCAAATCAAAACAACTTTGAAATACTATCTTACTCCTGCCAGAATGGCTAAAATTAGAAACAACAATGACAACTTATGCTGGAGAGGATGTGGAGAAAGGGAAACACTCCTCCACTGCTGGTGGGAATGCAAACTTGTACAGCCATTTTGGAGATCAGTTATGGTGGTTCCTCAGGAAAATGGAAATCAATCTACCACAAGACCCAGCAATCCCCCTCTTAGGCATATTCCCAAAAGATTCACATCCATGCAACAAAGACATGTTCTCAACTATGTTCATAGCAGCATTATTTGTAATAGCAAGAACCTGAAAGCAACCTAGATGCCCCTCAACTGAAGAATGGATAAAAAAGATATGGCACATCTACACAATGGAATACTAATCTGCGGGGGGGGGGGGCAACGGAATCTTGAAATTTGCAGGCAAGTGGATGGAACTTGAAACCATCCTGAAATAGGAAACCCAGTCACAAAAAGAACATGGTATGTACTCGCTCATATATGGATTTTAGATATAGAGCCTATAATTGACACTGCTAAAGAAAGTAGGATACAAGGAGGAATCTAAGAGATTCATATAAGGTCCCTCACAGAAGGGGAAAGGGACAAGATTCCCAGAGCACATGGGGATTGTGGGGGCAGTGAATGGAGAGGGTACTAGGAGAAAGAGAGGGGGAGGAGAGGAAAGCATGTGAGACTAGGAAGATTGAGTAAGGGGAGGAATAGATGAGAGAAGAGAAGAGAGAGAGAGAGAGAGAGAGAGAGAGAGAGAGAGAGAGAGAGAGAGAGAGAGAGAATAAAGGAGGAAGCCACTATAGGTTTGAAGAGAAAACTGAACCTAGATAAATGTCCTGAGACCTACAAGACTGACCTCAACTAACAATTTGAGCAACAGTGGAAAGGCTGCCATAAATACCCTTCCCTGATAATGAGATTGTCCTCATCTAGTAGCTGATGGAAACAGAGGCAAACACCCACAACTAAACACTGAGCTGAACTGGAATCCAGATGTTAGAGGGAGGACAAGAAAATGCTGCAGAAACACACAGAGACAGCTGACTTGAACAAGGAGGAGCTAACGGGCCCCCAGACTGATAGCTGGGAATCCAGCATGGGACTGACTCAGGCCCCCCTGAATATGGGCCTCAGCTAGAAGGACTGAGCAGTCTAAGGGACCTCAGACAATGGAGCCAGGATGTATCCCTGGTGCACAAAGGACCTTGGGAACACATCCCCCATGGAGGGATACTCCCTTAACCTAGAGACAGGAGAGAAGTCCTAGTCTCTACTCCAAATGACTTGACAGATTTAGATGACCCCTCCTGCAGGGCATCATACTACATGTGGAGTCGGGGGGGGATGGGAGGGGCAAGTGGTCGGGGTACATGAGAGGGTGGGAGAGACAGAAAGAGGGAGGGAGGAAGGGAGGGAGAGGCAACTGGGATCTATATGTAAAATAAAAATTAAAAAAATAAATTAATAAAAATAATAAAAATAAATTATAAAAAGAAAAAGAAAAAGAAAAGACAGACTCATAGTCCCAAATTTCTAGTCCTCAGAAGAACCAATTTTGTTTTGTTCTAAAGCTTGGATAATCCTCCATTTCTATGCTCTCCCTATTCAGTGTGCACATAGAGATGGTAACTAACTCCCATGAACTCATAACAAAGGAGTTACTACTTTCTGTTCACGACAAGAGAGATTGTATTTTCTAAAATCAGAGGGATAGTGGTGCTGAACTTGTGAAGTCAGAGGCGGGTGTGTCAATATTTGACCACATTGAGAGTCATTCTTTTGTTCTCACAAGTTTCACACATACTCACGGATAAATAAATTTGTTCCATTCCTGTCATAGAGTCACAGAAGCAGGACAGCCCTACCTCATTCCGGCCAACAGATATGAAATGGAGTTCAGGATTACAGTCTGCACTTTCTCATGAACAAATGGTGGACTCAAGCCTAGAGCCAGGAACAGATTTTACTAAAGATAGTTTCTGTGGCTGAGCTGGAACTGGAAAGCCATCTTTACTCTTCCATGTTATCTTCTGTTCCTAAAGAATTTGCCTTCTCAGGAAACATCTTCGGTATTGGAAAGTAGGTGATTTAGGTAGCAAAGTTGCCATTTAGCAAACATCCTTTCCAGCTATTACATTCAGTCCTTTGCTCTGTCTGTCCACAGTGATTGCTTAACACACTCTGTCATGCTATAATTGTGGAGCCTTAATATATGAGAGATATTTGCTTCTGAAAGGAAGCTGGGAGAGAAGAATATTCTCTTAAAACAAGAGTGAGGTACTGCGGGCTGGTAGACATATGAGTATAGCAGGGAACTCTCTATGGCCTGTCAAAGTACAGTTCACCTGACATTTCTCAGTGGGTAATTTCTGAAATCCCACTAGTAAGTCATGAGGGGGTGGTAGTTGTGCACAGAATGTGCACATGGTAACCAGAGAGTACATCACTTTTTTTTAAATGTTGCATTTCTAGACAGAGATCTAGATATATGGTTGTAACTGCTATTATCCATAATTGGAATTGTTACTTAGAGGTATGCCCTTCAAACCCCTAAGCTTGAAGGGATCAATAGTTTTAAATAGGCAAGAGCAAAGGCTATATCAACAGGAGGCTCAATGGGTAAGACCACTGGCTCTTAAAACCCAACTTTAATCCTTGAAACCCACAGAAGAAGAAAAAAATCAGTTCCCAGAGGTTATCACCTGAACTCCATAGGCATAACCTGGCATGCATGAACATCCATTCATATACACACACATATGCATAATCAAACCACATAAAATATTAAAAAGCAATTGATGCCAAAATAATATCTTTATTGAGAAACACTTGTTTTCTATTATCTGTAATGCTACAATAATGATGTCCTTGGGACTATTATTTGAAGGGTTACCATCCAAGCCCCCAAATTAGTAGGAACTTGGAGATTTCAACTCTCCAAAGCAAATGATGTCAGGAAAAATCTCTTTACTAGAGAGCATTGGTGTAAGGATGCTCCAAGCTTAGAAGCCCCAGGAGCAAAGAGTGATGGGTCATGGCATTCGTGCAAAAACACACAGGACTACAGGGGCATCTGTCTCTTGAAGACATCACAATTCACACAGGTCAGGTGACTCCTATGGCAAGAGAACACAGATGGAGATGCACATTAGTGAAGATCAGCAGTCAGGAAGCCAGAGTGACCAGGTCCATTGTCTGTTTGGACCCAGTTATGACCATTTGGGGGATTGGCCACTACTGGTCACTGGGACCACAGATTCTGTTGTTTTCCTTCTCTTCACAGGAAGTGCCCATTGATGCAACCATGCAGGTTACATTGTTTTCCTCCCAAAGCTGCAGATTTCTCTCCTGATGGAGCAAACATTCCCTGCAACTGATTCCGTACTACCCCAGTGCCTACCTTGTCACAGTTCCTGCATCACAAACAACAATGGTCCTTGGGACTCATTTACCTCACATATTCAAAAAAGATAGAGAAAAACCACATGGATTTGAGGTCTCTAAAGGATAAGGGAACCCTAAAAGGGATTGAAGATCATTAAAGTGTAAGTGAAACAAAACCATTAATGCTTTGTAACAATGTAGCAAGAAATTGAGTCTTATGAATTCAAAGCATAAGAAGTTACAAAAATACAACTTAAATTTACATACATGTTCAAAGCATTAATGGCTACACATGTGTAAAATAAATGTATGGAGAAGATGCATTAAACAGAGGAATCTGAGACAAACTGACAGCTCAGGGAGCTTGCACTGCCTATACCGGGAGCTCGCTTCACCAGGGAATGGAGCTCAACTCCATAAACTTTGCAATGCAGCACATGCTTTGCTGTAGGACTCACTACCAATCCTGTAATGGAACCAGGAAGCTCATCGTGTACCAGCTATAAACACTGGGGTAGATGTCTCTGCTGTGTGGTAAGACACTTACCTCTAAATGTGTCCTTGTCCTTGACTGATTCATGAATGTGTTATTCTGTGAAGACATCTTGATGTAGGACTACCCCTCCTCTTGGACAGTAGCACATCCCTTGAGCTTGATGGACATGCTTTCTGTGAATTCCACCCTGTATTTGCTCTTGAAACTGCACAGCATAGCCATCATAGGCTTGGGAGTACTGTCTAAAATGTGGAAAGAACTCTGCTGTTTTCCTGGCCCAGCCAAGCTTTCTTTTGAGCCCGTGGATCTTTTTATGCTGTTGATGCACTTGGGCCCGGTCTTCATCCAGGGAATATTCTTTGCCCTTGATTTGCTGAGCAGCCTCTTCTTGGAGAGTTAGTTTTGCCTGGTAGGATTTCAAAGGGGCGCTGAGGGACTTCAGCTTGATTTGTGATTTCACCTGGCCTAGGGTCTTTAGCTGGCCTGTTTGGGACTTCAGTTGGGCTTCACCAGATTTTACTTGGGGTTGGGATTTGATCTGTGACTGGGATTGAAGTTGGGATTTTTGTTGGCTAATCTTGTCTTCTTCATCACAAACTATGTCTTCATTTAACCCTGTCTGCTCCTGTGAACTCTGAGTCTCCCCGACTTCAGCAGCAACATTTTGGCCATATGCATACTGCTTAGTCTGCACAAAAATGCTTTCTTCTGATGCATCTTCCTGTGCTCCTTCAGGCTCGTAGTGGAAATGGCCTTTTTGGATAAATACAACGGGGGATGTTTTTACTAGCAAGTGTCCTTTTGTCCCACCTGGTAATTGATAACAAGAATGTTTGAGTTACACTCTCTGTACAGTGCCCTTTCTAGTCTTACTCTAGAATTTTCCCCATCAACCCGCCGAGGTACCCACAAAGCATGTGCGTTTGGGTGGAGAAGAGTCAAAGTCCATCAAGATCGCCCTGTGGAGGGTTCTTGTCACTGCCAGAACACCCTAATTCTCCCTGAGTGCCTTCCTGCCAGGTGATTCCTTGCACTCACCATAGACTCCTACTGAAGCTGCTTGCTTCTCCAGAAGGAGGAGCAGAGAAAGGCTGAAGAAGATGGACTTCATCTCACCAGGAGGGGCCTTCACTGAGAGCTCAGCTGACCTCTGCTTTATATGTTCTCTGCTGGGTGCATAGATGTGGCTGGAGTCACCGAAGCCCTCACCCGTCCCTACTTATCTGGCCTGCTGGCTTCTGCCTTCTTCTCAGTAAGAGATATTGTCAATATTCCTAGAGACGACAGATACAAGATGTCATAGGCATCTTTGTCTTACCCCTACATGTCCTAGAAAATTTTTATCATCACTTCAAGATCATCACATGATGTTTCCAGAAGAAATTCAAGGCAGAGATCACAAGAGTAACCAGGGCCTGTCCAAGATTTAGTAGTTCAAGTGTGGGGCCTAGTGCACTGCACCCTTAGTTAGATGTGCCCCAAACATGCTGTGCACATGTGTGTTTTTCAAAATGAGATGGACACACATGCCTCCTCTCAAAGGGCCTATTTGCAAAGGTTAAAATAAGACACAGGAAAGAAGGCAAATTTAAGGGTTCCAAAGAAAATTTCAATAACAATAACTGAGATACAGCTGCATGTAAGTAACCCTAAAATGCCTGACCTTTCTACTGACTTGTGTGAACTCCCCCCCCATCCCCACCCCCCTCCCCGTGTTCCCTTTCATTAGTGGCTTGATGAGAGCCCATGAGTGCGGCATGGCAGGCCATCATCTGCAGGATGGAGAGCAGCAAAGTCAAAGTCCAGAGTGCCCTGTGGTCCATGTCCTCAGTGGGATGAGCATCGGGGCTGCATCTCAAGAGGAAGGCAGCTGTAGAGGGCTTTTCAGGGGTGGGAGAAATTCACTATGTTTGGCTGCAGACAGGAATGACTGTTGGAACAAGGAGAAAAGACCCTGGTTTCCTAATTTCATTATTTTCATTAAATCATCTAAAAACCATAGTACCACTCAGTGAGGGAAGTCCCTTACATATGAGGAACAGCTTCAGGCGGCACTGGTCATGTCTGTCATCACTAGTGGATGTGTTCATATAAGAATGCCATGAGTGTAAGGGACCAGATGCCAAGGGAGACTGTGCACCTCCTGTAAAAGTGCAGTTCCCTGCAGCTGTGGGAAGATCCTGAGTGGTTGATATGTCTGCCCTTTAGTTTCCCCAGGCAGACAGTGGTGTGGGAAAAGGACAGAAGAATTAAACATCTCTGCAGAGAGCCTGCATGTCCTCACACCAGCTGGGCAGGGGTCTAAGAGAAGGTGCATGAAAAAGCATTTTCAGCCTGTATATCCCCAAATGCTAGTTTACTTGGAAGAATGCTTTGTGGAAGGAGTTAAAGTGAAGTCCACTCACATTCTCATGAGAAGAAGGGGATAAAGGTGCTCAGTCACCAAACAGAACACAAGGATGCTGGCTTTTGCCTAGGAGCTCTGAGCTTCTCCTAATCTGATCTCTTTGTCCCAAGTCTAAGATAACTGGCTCCTCAGCAGAGATGCCAGTCAAAAGATTTGAAATTACCAAGAAGGCAAATGACTTCCTTTTCTTGCTTACTTCTCCATCTCTCTATGCCCTTCCCTTGAGACAATGCCAGGAGGAATTCTTGATGGAGATCTGATTTGTGGACAAATGATCTTTTATTTTTAACATGTCAATAACCAATGTCTGTGTTTAACCCTCTGTGCAAAATATGAGCCTCATAGTCAGTGGAGACTTTGTTATTCTGTTCACTTCCTTCATTCTCTGCCATTATCAGTTGGCACCCCAAGACTTGGACATTTGCTCGCTCTGGGTGTAAGTCTTCTGCAGTGACTGGGAACCTGCCAGAACCAGAGGCTGAAAACTTACTGGGATATGCAATAAATCTAGTACCCAAAGAAGCCAAGGTTACATGCTAAGAGCTGACCTTTGAAGTAGTCTGCTTAGAATAACAGTTCAAAAAGCAGAAATGACCACGGAGTCCAGAAATGACTCACTATGCCTTTGAGACTTATATTTGGAGCTACAGGAAATTGATTGCTAGTGATCAAAGGGGCCCTTGGCTTCTCTAGAGACAAGACTCCTAATAGGTTATCCAGTCCCAGTCAACCAGTCCTAAACATGTATAGTTATGGTCAACACTGAATGGATCCAGCATGTTATATTTATATATGCACACACATATATAGACATAAAATGATGATAATTAAAGAAGATGTGGATTTGAGAAAGAATGAGGGAGAAGGAGGAGAGGAGTTGGGGGGAATGGTGGAAATAATGTAAATATAGTACTAATATATGAAACTCAAAAATGTTTAAATACTTAAAATGAAGACACAAATTTGGAAGACTATGGAATGGATGGCAGATCTGGGAGGAATTGGTGAAGGGGGTGAATAGGATCAAAATACAATGTATGAAACTCTCAAAGAATTGATTACAAAAAAGTATATAAAAGCCCCATCCTCAGGCAAGTTGAAATGTGACAACTCAATGTAGTGAGCCATTTTGGATGAGATCCTGAAACCAAAAACATTAGATAAGAAGTGGATCATTATATAGAGAGTAGTGACTTTAGTATCAGTGTAGCAATATTAACCATTAGCTGTGACAACTGCACCCTTGGGAAGGCCTGGGAGGGAGGCTGATTCCATGTTAGCTCTCTTATTTTTTCACTTAATTTGCATACACATTTCTGGGTCCTGCTTTATTCTTCACAAAGGGAAAAGGTCTGGGTACAAGAATTACCTGCATTCAAAACTCATGGTATTTTTTATAAATGGATTTTAAAGTTTCATTTTGTTTTTTTGTTTGTTTGTTTTTCTTATTCTCAGATTTCTGATTCCGTGGAAGGGAATGGATTCTATGTGGTTTTATTTACTTTTCCTGGTGTTGGACAGTTTTGAGAAATTGTACTGAAAGATTAACTTTCATAAGGGCGCCTAGAACCCAGAAGTCCTAGAATTACAGTATTGATTTTTTATTTTCCAAAAAAAAAAAATGCTTTTCTAAGGATATAATAAAATACTGAGCTTATAAAAATTGACAAGTGCTCCCTACCATCTGTTTTAAAGAATACCAATACAGAAAATGATAACCAATCAAAACTCAGAGTTGTGGAACCCAGTTCCAACTGATACATTCTCAGATACTTCCGTACCTAGGACTGAGGGATCACTACAAGAGATGGGGTGGAATGTGCTAGAGGACCAGGCAATTTGCTTTGAGACTATGTATCCTAGGACTGTCACAAGCCACACCCATAAACTTTCACCAACATGGCTACCTAAATATGGGCTGAACAAAGACAACAACCATAGGTATGCCAACATGGATGAAGGAAAGTGCATGATGCTTCGACCTCACAGAAAGAAATACAGGTAATTAAGGAAAGCTGAGAGTGGAGGAGATCATCTTCCCCAGGGGAGGGCATATCAGTTGCTTATCCAATGCCAGCTATAGATTCTTTAAGATCAAAAATGCCCAAATAAATCAATAAAATAGTCAGAACATGTACACAAAACAAAGCGAAATTCTGTATGTCGCCAGTTGGTTTGCCACTGAATGTATTAACTGTCTTAGGGAAACTCTTTACCATTATTCACTTCCACCACCTAAAAACTGTGGATGTTGGAGGGACTGATAAAAGGACTCCTTCCTTCTCTTTAATAATGGAGGGTAAAAGATGTGACAGAAACTATGAAAGCCATGGTCAGAACACAAAGTTATGATAACTAAACCATGAGAGGGAAGGAGGCTGAAGAGCTCAGTGAAATAGGTTGTTTTCAGATCAGTAGAAGAGAACTTTGACTACATGGCATGGCCTCAGTTTACTTAGCCTTTGCTTTGATGCTTTCCTATGTCTTATTCTGCCACTTTAAAACGTTTTCCTCCATGCTATCAACCATTTTTTTTCTGAGCTCAGATAAACCGAATTTATCAAGTATGACCTTTCTCAGAAGTTAGCTCTAAACCATATCTCTAAGCTGCCCGCCATCACAGGGCATTCTCTGAATCGGATAACCCATAATCCTCCTCTTTGGAACTCAGTTACCATATCCTAGATGTGAGAAGATTGTTTCTGATATCATTTGTTCTGCATTAAAGGTGAAGCTGTGTGATCAGGAAAAATGTCAAGACTGATTAACACTGGGTACCTGGCCTTATTTCTTAACAAGGGCACCTGATTACCCCATCACCACCATCACCATGGGATAACACATCACTGGGTGGAAGGGTCTCTTTGCCTCATTTGGCATATGGAACATGATGTAACTCAAGTATTCTTTAGCTGGTCATTGGTTGCTCTATTCTTTGTCTATTTTTCTGAAAGTTGGTTATGGAATCTCAGACAGAATATCAGGATCCTAGGGCATTTTTTTCTAGTGAATCCAGGTATAAAAGAAAGATATGAGATTGGTGATGGCTGGGGGCTATGGGTGAATATACTAAAAGTGCATTATATAATTGTATGAAAATGACATTGCATAACTCAGTACTGTATACATGAGTATATGCCAAAAGGAAATTTTTTTTAAAAAGTTATGAAGGTGGGGAAAATTTTTTCCTCCTATTACTGAGCTCTTGATGTCTGTTGTACATGCCAAGACCAAGTTCCCAGGAATAACAAGTGGGACTTTTAAATGATTTTCATCATGCCTACCAGATCCCTGCTTCTGATTTCTCTCTGAAGTTACCCACATACTCATATGCATCCCTGAGAAGCATTGAGAAATTCAATCAGAAGGACTAGAAAGTTCCACATACTCTATAGATACTATTACTGAGGTAGAGAGAGAGAGAGAGAGAGAGAGAGAGAGAGAGAGAGAGATGCCCTTAGTCCATGTTACTTAGGAATACAGTTTAGGTCAAGAAGATGTCATAGTATTGAATTTTTCATTAACTGTAGAATGGAAACAGAGAATAGAGGGATCTGGATGAGCTAAAAAGATGGACAACTGAGAGACAGTGAAAATATTCTATTTCTTTCTTAGGTACACAGTGTCCTGGAAGAACAGGGACAAGCCTAGATGGGGGCCCAAATCCAACAGATTCTTGGGTCAAAGCCAATTTTGCTGGGGCCCTTTCCCTGCTCTGGAGTTAATATTTCTTTAATTAATAGTTACCACTGAAGAGTGTACTGATTGGAAAAC